CGCGTCTCGCGCAAGGACCTCTTCAGAGAAACAGTTACTCTCTCCACTCGCGTCACCACGCTCGCGTGTGAGGTCACCCCGCTTTATAGACTTCGGGCCACCGTGTGACGTTGTTTATGTCGTTAGGGGTCGCGTTCTATGACGTGGGCGACCTACGGTGCGCATGCGCGAGAGATGCGTTCTATGACGTGTGCGACCTACGGTGATGACATTCGTGATTAGAGCCGTCATTAGATTCTGAGATGATACGCGAGCTGAGATGCCGCATGCGCGAAAGCAAGCCACGTGACATTTTTAAGAGGATGCTTTCGACCTAAGATCTAAGCCGCGCTGTGTCCGCCGCTACCGCTACCGCTACTGCCGCCGCTGACGCCGCTACCACCGCCGCTGACGCCGCTACTGCCGCCGCTACCACCGCCGTTGACGCCGCTACCACTACCGCTGCTACCGCTGCTGCTACTGCTGCTGCTACCGCTACCGCTGCTGCTATTGCTGCTGCTACCGCTACCGCTGCTGCTACTGCTGCTGCTACTGCTACCGCCGCTGCCGCTGCTGCCGCCGCTGCCGCTACCACTACCGCTGCCACTACCGCTGCTACCGCTGCTGCTACTGCTACCGCCTCTGTTGCTACCGCTACCGCTACTGCTACCGCTACTGCCGCTGCTACTACTGCTACCGCCGCTGCTACCGCTACCGCTACTGCCGCTGCTACTGCGACCGCCGCTACCGCTACTGCTGCCGCTGCTACCGCCGCTGCTACCGCTGCCGCTGTTGCTACCGCTAGCCATACTGCTAGGGTTACCGCTACCGCCGCTACTGCTACGGCTGCTACTGCTGCTACCACTACCGCTACTGCTACTGCTGTTGCTACTGCTACCGCTACCGCCACTGCTACCGCTACTGCTGCTACCGCCGCTATCACAGCCGCTGCTACCGCTACCACCCCTGCTGCTACCGCTACCGCCACTGCTACCGCTACTGCTGCTACCGCTACCGCCACTGCTACCGCTACTGCTACTACCGCC